ACAACAACAACTCCTCCGCCATGCAGCACTGCCGCAGCGCCACACACTAACTGACTGGCCACCCGCAGCGCCACGCACCGACTCACCGGAAACGCGCGCGGGAACACACAACAGGCAGGGGCGCGGGAACACGACGCCATCGGGGGCCCGGCTGACACTCTGCGGCATCAGCGACGCACCGCTCCACCAACTTGCCTGGCACTCTGCTCCTCTTCCTCTTCTTCCTCCTCCTCTTCTTCTTCCTCCTCTTCTTCTTCCTCCCCCTCCTCCTCTTCTTCCTCCTCTTCCTCTTCTTCTTCCTCCTCATCAGCCCCCTCCGTCTTCCTCGGCCCTGGAGGCTTCACCATCCGCCGTTCCGGTGGTACGGCTGCTGGCAAGCGCGGAACCCCAACAACATTCCTCGGGTCCACGTGGCGTGGTGTCTGCAGCGCCACCGGCTTCAGCACCATTTCATCAGCCACATCCTCTTCACCTTCATCTTCATCTGTCTCTTCACTCGGTTCCTCCTCGTCTTCCTCTTTCTGGGGTTGTTGTTGTTGTTGTTGCCGCCGCGGCTGAGGCTGTTGAGAGGTTGGATTTCCCTTTGGCGGGGATGCAGTGGGCTCGACGGCGGGTCTCTGCAGCTTGGCGTGCAGCAGGCGTATCTGCTGCGCCACAACGTCGTCACTCGCCTCCAAGCGGAACACGAGCCTCACCAGCTCCTCCATCTCGTGCATCGAGAAGTACCTGTAGTCACCGCTCGTCACGAGGTCGTTGGTAACGTCCTTGTTGGGTAGATACCGCAAGAACGTGGCGGGGCGGGCGAAGTAGTACTTCACCGCGTCACGCACGTCGTCGTCTGTGGGGAGGACCAGCTGAAGCGCCGTCTCCATCGAGAGGAGGTTCAGCTGCAGCCGCATCAATCCCGCAGGCGATATTGCCTTGTCGCGAAGGTGGGCAATCTCCACCATGATCAGGTCGCCCAGAGGCTTCGCCACCGTAATACCAACGTACTTCCTCTTCTTCTCGGAGAGGTGCAGCCTCAGCAGCGCAAAGAAATTTGTGATGCGGCGGTTGTATGCCTGTACAAATGTGTCGGGTGTATATGAGGTAGCCACAATATTGTATGACTCATCCCGCAGCTGCGGAATAAACTGAAAGGCGGCGAATCGAGCTTCAATTGACAAATAGAATAGGCATGACTGGGAAAGTGTGTACATTTGTCGGAGAATCAACCCAAGTCGGAGCCAACGTGAGATATCGCTTGCAGCAGTTGGCGCCAAAGGACCCGCCCACCGCTCATACTGCTGAACGAACGTAGCCCCCGGTACGAGACCCTCGGTGGTGTCTTTCAGCTGCCAACCCTCAGGTCCAACTGTCTGCAGTGCTATGTCGCACAACCACTCCGTCGAATGGCAAATCAATGCGAGCGCCACCGACATGCCGTCACCCCGAAGCGCGAGCTCCGCAGCAGGTGTGGCGCCGATGATAGGGTCGAGGTCACTACCATTGCTTTGGTGGTTATTGCTGCTGCTGCTGCTGCTGCTGCTGCTGTTCACCTCCCTAACGAGGTCACGACCCATTTCCCGGCTGGTTTGGTTGTACTGATGGCCGCTCGTGCGCTGCGCGTTATTGTACGCGTAGTAGCGGAAGAGGTCAGCGTCGATGGTGTTGTGGGCGTCCCACAGATGCGCACTGTCGCACAGAGCCAGCCAGCGAGGCGTGGGGCGGCCAGCGAATGCCTCCTCTAGGTCCGCACAGAGCAAGCGAAAGTGCAGCGAACCGAGCGTGATGAGCTGCTGCTTTTTCTTGAGAAATAGCGTGAGCTCCGTCAACAGCGTCTCCGCGATGTTTTGCTGCACGGCCTCCGCGAGGCTGTTGGGCAGCGTGCGGCGTAAATTCGACACCTTCTGCAGCACCTGACCAACGTAGTGCACGCACGCCAGAACGGGGTGGCCGCTTCCACTGCCTTGACGAAGCGTGACGGTTGGCCACTTGATGCCCTCCTGCCGTGCCTTGAGATGATGCACCAGCGGCTCCGCTGGCATCTGTGGCTGTGGCTTCTTCGCTTCAGCGTTGGTAGCGTTATCGTCGGCACCGAGTTCAGCCTCCGACACGTCGGCAAAGAGCCGCCTCAGCTGCTGCGCGTGGAAAATGTACAGAGTCGGCACATAAGTAGTCTGCAAAAAGCGGCGAAAGAATTCCCTCATCTCATCACGAGGCGCACTCGCAAAGCGTGGTGCACGCTCACGGCAGCGCAGATAAAAACGACGCGTGCACTCGAAGCACGTCAGCACATTCATTGGTGTCAGTACGAACCAGTTCTTGAGTGTCCCTGCTTGCTTCAGAACGAGAGGGCCGCCGCTTCCGCCGCTGGAGCTCATCGCTGTTGTTGCTGCCGCTGACACCACGTTGGACTGCCGCACTTGCCCCTCGTTGGCGCGCTTCAGGTCACGTTGCGCGCACTTTACGGCGACCACAAGGCTGAAGGACACACGCCCCGTCTGCTCCATCACCGCAAGGAGTCCTGTGGGGCTCTGCGTCGACACCATCTTCTCAAGGGAGGAGAACGTGTCGACAGCGCCACCGCTCATAATCTCCGCCGCCCGCTGCACGCGGCTGGTGAGATTGCGATGCCTGAGGAATGGCTTGAGGGCAATCTCGTCACCAAGGTCCTCCTCCACCTCCTTGGCGTCGCACAGCACGTGAAAGATGAGCTCGATGTAGTACCCGAGCTGCGATGAAAGTACCTGAAGGTCCCATTGTGCGTGCATCTCCTTCACATCTTGACGAAAGGCCTGCTGCACCATTGACGTGATGAGGCCGCCAAGCTCACGGCGGCACGCCATGACCAAATCCACATCGCCCTCTGGAAACTCCCTCACCACCGACTGCGCCGCCACATCAATTGCGTTCAGTACACCACTCAGGCACACACCACCACCACTGCCATCAACATCAACATCACCAGGAGTAGTTATGTTTTTGTTTTTAGAGTTGCTGTCAGCCGCCAATGCTGCAAGTGTTTGATCCACGTCGAGCTTCACTATGAGCCGCTTCAGCGCCACCATTGAAGCACTTTCGACACCGTCTTCCACCTGCCCAGCTCGCTGAGAGAGCGCTGTGGAGAAGGCGGATGCCACAATCTCCCGCATCTTCTCCACGTCTCGCAGCGGCGTCTGTGTAATGTCCCACTCACGGTAGGTACGGTCGGGATCGAAGGCATCAGGCTGCATCAGGCACGTGGAGAGAAACGGGAAGTATGCAATGAGAATGACCTTGATGAGAAAATCCGCGTTGCGCACAATCTTCTCCAGTTCCGCAAAAAGGGCATTCAGCATCGCCCGGAGCTCCTGCTGCTGAACAAGTGCCACAGCCTCGTCATACGACATGATGGGTGACGCAAGCTCCTTTCCCTGAAGCTTCGTTGCACGCACCGTGGCGGCGTCAGAGCTGCCGGCAACACTTGTCGAGCTGGCCGCGCGTTGTCGCCATACACCGTAAAGGCGGAGAAAGTGGGCAATGGACTGTTCAATGCTGCGCGTCGCCTTGGAAAAGAAGGCCTCGTAGCAGCGATCCAGTTTCCCTAGCTCCTGAAGCGTCCGGACGCAAAGCGGAATGAAGTGCAGATAGTTCCTCACCACGTTATCATTGTTCGGGTCATCGTAAACATTTTTAAGAACAGTTGCGAGTGTCACTTTGTCCCTGCCCATGCTGCCCCTGCACCGCTGTGTCTCTTCGCAAAGTGTAGCGAGAACATTCATAGTAGCAGGTGTCTTCTCGGAGGCACCGTCCTCCAGCATGCGACCCACCAGCTGTGCATCCGCCTCATTGAGCCGCTCCCGCCGAAACACGCAGCTCATCAGCTCGTCCAGCACCGTTGTGTGCATTGTTTCTAGCGTTCCGTTCACGTACTCCCGCAGCACCTGCGTCGCGCGTATCTCGGCAACCTCCGGTGTATTCAGCCGGGTCTTATGCTGCTGCAGCAAGCGCACTGCCGCGAGGTAGTGATGTGTAGCAATGAGCTGCTTCACCTCGGACTCACACGAAAGCGATGCCTCCAGCCCCTTCAGGGACTCCGCCATGAGAAGTGCCTTCGCCGCACGCATGCGCAGTACCTTCAGTTGCTCTGAACGGTTGTCAAGGGAGGTGGCTGCCGCAATCAGCTGCTGCTTCAACCGCCCCAACATCTCGTCACTGCCAGAGACAGCCAAAATCATATCTGAAAACCCTGCAATCGCCTCGTTGAACTCATCGTGGTGTGCCTCAATGTACCGACCAAGCATGGCGTCCAGTTCCTCCTGGAGCTCGCAGTAGGGTGCCAGCCGCTCGTCGATTTCGCCTGGGGTGGCCGTTGCACCATCTTCAGAGGCGATGATCTGCACAACGTGTTCGTACGGGACAAAATCATCGGCAAGAAGCTCTCTATCAACCTCAGCGAACAGTTCCTTGGCATTGCGCACAAATTCACGATCTACACTGCTAGTGACTCCTTCCTCTTCCTCATCGTAATAGTCGTCCTCATCATCCTCCGCAGCGTCACGATCAAACAGCTTTCGTGGAATGAAACCAGCTGGACCTCTTCCCCACACCGACTCCCCGCCCCCGCCAGGGGCACGACCAAAAGCAGCAGAAGACGATCCGTTTTTCTTGAGCACCACGTTTCGCAAAAAGGCGCCCCCCAGTGATTTTGTGGGAGCTTGACTGCGGCCAAAAATGGGCGGTGGTTCAGTGGTGACGGTGGGACCAGCAGCAGCCCTGCTGCTCGCTGCTCCTTGTAGTCCCATGACGCCATCATTCACACTGGGGTGCTCATCGTGGGCCAGTTGCTCCTCATCCTCTTCACTAGTGTCATGCTCTTCAGGCTCCAATGTGGGGGAAGCGTTGTTGCGCAAAAAAGCGCCCGCACCGGAGACGACATTAGGGGACTTTCCAAACATGCCGCCACCCACACCAGTCAGTGCCCCATTGCCGTTGTTGTTAGCGGCAGCAAAGAAGCCACCGCGAGAAGAGCCGGGGGCACCGTTGGCGGTGGTCGCGTTGTATCGCCACGCCATTCCTTTTGATGAGCACTTCTATTCTACCAGCCAGTGCTCCGCGCCTGCGTTTCTTTCGAATCGGGAAAGCACGGTGAAGAGAGCACGACAAGAGCAAAAAGGAAAAAAGGAAACAAAGACACAGGCACCGGGTTACTGTGGAGCAGATTCACAGCGGACAGTCGCATACGCCAGGCCCCACCCCCACCCCAACACAAAAGGGGGGGGGG